ATCTTAATTCTCGGTTCATATAAATCATATGGCAGTGATTGTGCAGTGAGTTGAAATGAATACAAAACGAAGATAAAAATAATACTTCATGGAACAAAGACCACACAACTTCTGATACATGACTAAATATTCTAAATCAATTTGACTAGAGAAGACATCTAATCTTCATTTTATGTGTATAGAGAAGCATTCTGGATACAAAATCCCATTAATTTGGGTCGTATATTTTCTATTTCTCTGCTTTGTCCACCATCTTTCTATTCAAACAAGTGTAAACCTTAAGATTTGCTACGTCACATACTTATCACTATGTGAAACTAGCAGACGAAATCTATGGATCGCATGACTACTTCATGTGAAATACCATGTTGAACAATTGACTTGTTACAGATTGAAAATGATTAAGATATGGCACCCTAAACGATTTCATTGAAATAATATACCTAACAATGAATCGTCTAATAATAACAAAATCTATTTCATTTTAAATCATATACGACAATAGATACTAATCGTTGAGTCAGAAATTAGATAATCACATGAGCGATTTACTTCGAAAAGGTTTCTATATCACAAAAATCATGAAAACAATTATCAAGTTGATCGTATTTTATTCAACTGATCTATTATCAGTCTATATCAAGATTTGGCCAAATAAAACGACGATTTCTTGTGAAAGTTGCAAATTTTGAAATAGGAAATCTAAATTTGGTCGAAAGTATAACTTTCAAACGATAAAAATGTAGTAACTAAGAATTAGTAAAATATAAAATGAAGAATATAGAAATAAAATAACTTTGAAATCGGCATACAAACAGCACTTGAAATTCCCATTCAAGTTTCAACTTTCAAGTTTCACATCAAAAAACTTTTTGAAAACATGGTATCTGGTGCACATACCGTGAAAAAGTTCTAAGAAATCGTAGAAAGTTGAAACTTGAAGTTTCAATCCAAATTAAGTTTCAGGTTTGATACTATTGAAAAAAGTATAATTTTATTGTTGCAAAGCAAAACTTTTTGGTCTGTGTCGCCATCTAGGGCTTCATTCTTATGCTAGAGAAGGGTGTGGGGTGTGAGTGTGGAGTGTGGAGTGTGGGTGTCGGTGTGGTTGTGATTGTGGGTGTGGGTGTGGGTGTGGTTCTTTCCTGCATCCACACCCACACTTCACACCTACACCTACATCTACACCCACACCCTCACCCTCACACTTACACTCACACCCACACCCGATCGGTTTAGATATTCAAGAATGCTGCTTTAAGTTAAAAGTTCTAAGTTATTAATAATAAAAAAAAGCCCAAGATAAGAGAAATTCGATCATTTTCGGTGTTTTCTTTTTCTGATCGATTGTTATTATTTCGTGTATTAAGGGAAGCAAGGAAAATATTCAAAGAGTTAAAATATTTTTAGAAGTTCGTATATTCTTTTATTTTATAGTGTAGGCTTGTTTTCTAGGCATTCTTCTATTACTATTTGTCTAGTAATAAGAGTACTTATCCATAATAGATCGAATATTTTTATTCTACTTTTATTAATTTATCATGATTATATATTGAAAGATTAACAATTGATTTTATTCAAATTGCAAATGACGATACTTCGATGAACATATTAATTCATTTCAGATTGAAGAATCCTTATTAGGTTAATATATCAATAATGACTCTTGATTGAATTGCCAAGTTTCAGTACTCACGGATACAAATGATGTTATAACTGAAAATTTCTCTCTTTTATCGTACAAGTGAACAGGAATATTCATGATTGCTCACTCGTCAACTATCCACTTACTGATCGGACGTGCTTTTCTTTTCTCGTCGCCATATTCATATATATATATTATTGTATTCTTTTTTTGAATAATCACGCGAGCTGCGTGTGTTATTTAAAATTAATTAATTATCGATAATTTAGTCGTTAGAAGACTATTTATCACTCAAATACAAATATGGTTCATTCTAAACATCAACAAAACAGTTACTCTATTGATAATTTATTAGATCGATCATTACCAAATTGTCTTAGTCATCAATGTCCTTGTTCTATTGTACATGATGATTCACATACAAACATACGCTTTGTTAAAAGAACAAATAATCGTCATCATCTACATCATGCACAATCAACTACTACAGATATCATTCCATTAAATTCTCCAGCTTGCAGCAAACGTGGTTCTCCTTCAAGTGATCCTGATGATGATGATTTTCAAATAGTTTCACATCAAAAAAAGAAAAAACAAGTTGTTATTCATAATCGTCAACAACATCATCAACAACATAGCAGTCCTGTTAAAACAAACAGTACGTTGACCAATCCAGTTCGTTCTATTGTTTCACGTTCAACTACAAATATAAATGCTAATAATAATATTGTTCAACATGATACACAAGTTCATCAAATTATAACAACAGCTGCAACTCGTTATGCCACATCACGATTTCCATTTCCACCATTTATTACACGTTTCAATTCGAACAAGGTATCTTTAAAAATTTTTAAAGAGGAGATGGTAAACCATTTTAAAATAAATCATCAAATTGAAATTGATATTCTTAATTGTCGTTCATCTAATGTAAACTGTACTAATAATGATATAGATATTCTTCTGTATTTAAAAGATTCGGTTTCTTTTGCCTCGTTATATGATAAAAATATCTGGCCATTAACTATTGCTGGTGAGAATTATTTGTTCCCTTCCTGGCCAGCTATTCCACCACAACTATCACTCATTATGAAGAATGTCAATGTTCGTATTGATTTCATTGAATTTAATAATGAAGTTAAATCACTTGTTCCTGATGTTAAAAACGTTATTCGTATGAAAAACAAGTTCGGTAATGACATCCATATGATTAAACTTGAACTTACATCACCAACAGCTCGTCAAAAGTTACTTGATACAAAAAAATTAACAGTAAATTATATTTCGTATGATATCACTGAATTTCTTGCTCCAGTCAACGTTCTTGTCTGCTCAAAGTGTAGTGGTATTGGTCATTTTCGTAAACAATGTACAGAACAACTTGAAACTTGTAAAACTTGTTCACAAGCATTTCCTGATATTAAATCTCATCGTTGTACAGCGGAACCAAAATGCAAACACTGCAATGGTGATCATCCTTCAAACTCGATTAAATGTCCATTTATTAAATCATATAGAGCTGAACTAACCAAAAAATTACTTAATACAAACAATCGTACTACTTTATCATCAACAACTACTAATGATGTTAATAATTATGTTTATGACCCGTCGAATTTTCCTCCTCTACCTGCACCTCACGTTTCATTAAATGGTCCAGTATTATCTAAATTAGATGATTTAATCAGTAAAATTGCTCAAGTTAGTCAACAGCTCTCAAATGTAGCTGCTAAACAAGAAAAATTTGAACATTTTATGGTGGAAAGTGCTAATCATAATGTACGAATTATTCAACAAATTGATGTCTTAAATAAACGTGAACAAGAATTAAACGCTGATCTTTTACAACACAATTTATTCATTGAAAGACATGAAAATTTGTTCAAGAAATTATTAATTCCTATGTTCGAAGATCTGTTTGGACTTATTGCTGCTCAAAATCAAGATAAAAAAGGAAACACACTTGATGCTGACTTAAAATGCAAACTAGAACGTTATCTAGTACAATTGAAGAAAACAAGGGAAGGTAAACATTGCTTGAACTAATGTCTTTATCACCACTTGCGCTTCCTTTTTTTTCTTGTGTTTCTTCTTCTCATCATTACAAGAGAGAATGTTTTTTGCTCAGATCTAGGGAGTGTCTTTCTCATTTTGATTTTTCTCTTTTATTTAATATTCTTTTGGAATGGGAGGGTTCTCCTCTATTACCTACTTGTTTTTCTAAATGGCAAAATTATGTGCCCAGTGGTAATGTTTCTACACTTTCTTCTTTACAAGTTCTTTCATTCAACGTGCGTGGATTCGATTTAAGATGGCAGGAGGTTTTACTTCTTACGACGTCCTTGAAAACAGATATTCTCATCCTGCTAGAAACCGGTTCAATGGATTATTCTGTCTGCCAAAAAGCCTTTTCGAATTTCGTCATGTTCTATCAGAATGGTGAAAATCGTAATGGCGGGGTCCTTATTCTTGTCAGAATGGGTATTCAAGTCACTAGAGTCGACTGTAAGCTTCCAAATGTTTGCGCCATAGATGTTAAAGCAGATGAATCACTTCGTATTATTGGTGTTTATGCTTCAGACAGTAGATCTTGGTCGTGGGAGGAGATTTCCCCTCTCATTGCAAGTAAATGTGTTGTATTTGGAGATTTTAACGTCGATGTTTTTCAAGATAGTAATAAATCAGAAAAGTTGCTGCGTTGGGCGGATATGAATTCTTTAGCTCCATTCATACCTGATGCACCTACCTCTTTACGTTCTAATAGAGTTATTGATTATGCACTAGCTCGAGGTATAAACATTAATGTTCAAACACAAAAAGGTAACACAACAAGTGATCATCTTCCTATTCTCTCGTCGATTCCAATATCTATTAAGCAGAATCTAGTAGGTAAAAATGTCCGTTGGAAAGTTTTTTCACTTTTTTCGGAGTACACATCCTCGTTCTGGGAGAAGAGTTGGGACACTAACAGTATTGATGATACATATGCAGATTATGTAAAATTTTTATTCCTCCTGTCGGCTCGTTGTACGTTGACTTTTCCTTTGAATAGATATCGAGTCGCTATCCCCTCTGAACTTAGATCATTTATGTCGTACGTGAGAGCTTTATCATTTCGACAGTTAAGAACAAAAAATTCTTTCTTAAAAAATGAAGTTCATAGGTTAAGAAAAATTGCGAAAAATAGGTTGAGTTTTTTCTTTTCCAACCAACTCTCCACTATGTTGCGTTATCGTAATACCTCAGCACCTATATCTGTGGCGTTTTGGTCTAGGACCAAACGTTTCCTCAAACCTTCCTCCTCCTCACTTCATGCCCTCATCGATCCAGCAGGAGACGTTATTAAAGACCACGAGTTAATGTGTGAAGTTGCTGCTAATTTCTATGAAGATTTCTTCAAAGAACAAGAAGTTGTAAGACCTCATCCTTATACCGACACTCCTTTAACTAATTTTGACAACGTTGACGAACCTATTCCTGATGTATCTCTTGATGAATTACTTGAAGTTGTCCATATGAAAAGAAAAAAGAAATCTGTAGATGCCCATGGAATTTCAAATTTTATGTTTAATTTCTTATCGTCGTCTAATTGGACTTTTTTCTTGAATCTTTATAATTGTTCTTTCCAAAGCTCGATTCTCCCTAGAGCTTGGAAAGATACTCGCATGATTTTGTTAGCGAAAAAAGAGTCAATATGTCCTCCTTCTGCTACCAGACCCATTTCTCTGCTTGATGTCTTTCAGAAAGTAGGAGAAAAACTTTTTCTCACACGATTCCAAGATGTTCTTTATAGGAGAGGGCTTCTACCGGATAACCAATCCGGTTTTCGTGATAATTTTAGATTGCAAACACGTGTAATATTATTTTTAGAAGACGTGTATAGCTTAATGGCGAATAGTGCACCCGTATGTACCATACTTATAGATTTTCGGTCAGCATTTGACCAATTATGGTACACCGGCTGCATTGGCAAATTACGTAGATTAGGAGTTCCCCTTGCGTACCTGAATTGGATAGAAGCTTGGCTTCGTAACAGACGTGCTTTTATTGAAGTTAATGGTAGTAAATCACGGTGGTTTAATATTGGAAAAGGAGGTCCTCAGGGTGGTATTTTAACACCGTGTCTATTCATAGCCTATCACTGTGATATGGGCCAATTTTTGTCAGGATGCACCAGTCACTTTTTTGCTGATGATCTAGCAGCAATTGTTTCTGGTCAAATAGGTTTAAGTTATACAAATCAATGCCTTGATCTGGAAAAACGTATCAAATTGTTTCTTGACCAGCTTGAATACTACGCCTGTCTATCAGTTCAACCCATAAATTTTACCAAGACAGTGGCGCTATTCAGTGCTAGAGCAATAGGTTTACCTAAATTCGATATTAATTCTGATTCGAATAATGAAGAAAAGATTAGCTGGGTTAATGAGTTCAAGTATCTTGGATACTGGGTTACACCGAAAATGGGCTGGGGCACAATGATTAAAAAGACGATGACAAAGGTTAGACAACGCGTCTCTTTAATTAGATCGTTTAAGCTATTTGGGTGTTCTTCACCTCAGCTTAAGCGTGCCCTATTTTCTTCGTACGTGCTTCCTTTGTTTACCTGGATCTATGTTCTCTTTCCACTTTTTTCTGATAATCAAAGAAATGAACTTTCGCACTTTTATTACACGTGTCTCCGTAATGTGATGTTCTGTTTGCAGTGGGATATAAACTTTTTCGCTTATGCTATGGATGAGAAATCGTTAGAAGACC